GACATTTGAAAGGCTTCTCTCCCGAATGCAACTTGATGTGGCGCAACAAGTTCCCCTTCTGGGTGAAGGAAGCTCCACACTGGTTACACTGGAATGGCCTCTCGTCTGAGAACACATAAGACGGACAGAGGACTTTAGAGGTAAATCATTTAATGTGTTGCCTTTATTTTTTTACATTTAGGGTAATAATAAACTTTAACCATAAAATGTATTTGTCTTGAATTGTCATGAGCACTTCCTTGCTGGCTTGTTCACACCTGTGTGGCTACGCTTGTGCACCATCAGCACGTTGGGTCCAATGCAGATCATCCCGCACACCTCACACTGGAGCTTCCCATTAAGGAGCCGGATAGGTCCTGGTGAAGCAGCATTTGGACTGGCCATCTCACTGTAAACGCTCGCTCTATCTCTTCCAGCACCAGCGTACTCTGTGCTTCCTTCTTCCATGGGGTCCCCTCTTTCATCCTTCCTGCTATCATCCTTCACAGCCTCTCTGTTCTCTGGCTGTGGAGCGCCTGGTGACTCATCATCACTGCACAGCTCAACCTTAATGGAGTTTGCTGTGTTTAGAGAGGATGAGAGAAGACACATTTACATTCATACATAATTTTAATCAAATCATTCTATACAGGCCATTTGGCCACAATGAAACCCGGGAACGATAACTGACCACTAAGGGAGCGGTGTGGTGAGGACTGCTGACTGTTTGGAGATCTCGCCGAAGGGCCCTGCAACCCGCCATAAAAATCCTGTTCCGTTGATGACTCCCCTCCATTACCTGAAACACAAATATGCCCACATTATTAAAGTAAACATTAAAGTGTGGAGACTGTGCACACAAATGTATAGTAGCTTCTCCTTTATATGTAAACGTACCCTGTGCATATGAGCGTCCATTGCAGTCATCAGCATTCATTCTCTCACCAGATGCCTACGGAAATAATTTTTTTAAAAGAAAGAGATTATCAATATTAGTTTTTCCCATTCAGACCCAAATTTCCAAATCTTAGTCACATGCCTTTCAATCTAACCATATATACTTACCAGCTGTGTGTGGTACAAGAATAAGGCTAGGAAACAGATAGCTTTATGCTTTCGGTTCCAAGTGTCTAATAATATGTAACACTGTAATAAACTAGTAAAATTGGATTCCACCCCGCTATTTCTGTATCATGTAGTTTCTTCTTCACCGTGGCCAGCAGATGAATATGAGAGGCTACCCATTTATAGAGTGGAGGAGGAGTTAAAACTGCTGGGAGTGGACAAAATAGCTGGAACAATTTACTCTATGAAGACATCTAGTGTAAAACCGCCAAAACTGCCGCCCCCTCGATTGGAAACTTTGACATAATCTCACCAAATTACAAAATTAAGATATTAAGATTAAATTTAATTGATCCCAGGAGAAACATGCATCATTAGGAGAAGATGAAGATAGCAAGAGAGGAGAGAAATACAGATTAGGAAAAAAAACAATCCAAGTTAGACAGCTGTATGTAGTATTTTACTCAAACCAGTGTGCATAAATGGAGCAATTTCTTATAATCTTTCTATTTATGATATACACGTATGGCTATATATCATGAATCTTTTTTTATTGAATTTTGTTGGGATTACATTTATAGGTTATGTGTATTTATCTGTAGTCTTTTATTGTTAATTGTTCCTGTTATTTTGTCCACCCTCTGTGTGTACGTGCAATAGGCTAATAATAATTAACGTGGGAGATGTAGGCCTACTGTAGGTTATAGGTACAGTTACTCCACCGCAGACAATAAAAGTGGGGTATGTAGACAAACACCAATTGGAGTTACATTTTCAGACGTGCAGTGTGTATTTTAGCACGTATGTTATTGTGGCCAGAGTTAAGGCGGTGATCTCGTGTTGGAAAGAAATAAAGAGAGGAAAGAAAAGAAGAAAGAGAGAGAGAAAACACCCAGATGTGCAATGCTGCACCTTTTGCTCAAATGGATGACAACAATGGACAGAGGAGTCTGTGGAGAGAGCGAGGGGAGGGGGGGCGGAGACAACACATCGCAGGGAAAATTAATATCCTGGCATTGGCCGCGCATGGGGAGCAACAGGCGCTGATACAGCCGGGAGACGCGCCAGTCACACCAGGGCACGGCGATTAAAGCAAAAAGGGACGCGCAACCACAGCGCCGACCCTCGCCTGACAATCCCTCTCAGCCCGAGATGGGCGACTGTGCAGTGAAAACACATTTTCTAAATAACTATCACGCTTCTCCATATATCCGTGACTACTTGCTCTCGGCTGCTCGGCGGATTGGGTTCCGCTACGGCACCGATCAGCTCACTGACGGTCGAGACGGCGGCGAGACACGGCGGCAATTTGTTGCAGGAGTTGCCACTGTCCAAATTGTCCGCATGAACGCAGCTGTCATCAAACATCGAGCACGTCAAACTGGCCTGAGCTATACAATGTTTCTCATGAGCCGTTGCTATGGCACCCGACCACACGACAAATGGCATTCACCCTACCAACTACTCAAAAACATGCCGTACTTCCGAATTAAAACCGATGGATGGTCTTACCAAGCGCCGCGGTGAAGTCCACAAGCCTCTTCCTTACCTGGCGACCGATCGGGGTTTTCCTTTTTAATTGTCTGGATAGCTGTTTGTTTTCCCAGGCGACGACAGCATCTCCGGGATTTTTTTTTACCTGGGAATCCCAAACAACTTCCGGGCCCATGCTGGGATACAGACCGAATAATTGTACAACAGAGCTCTTGATTCAGTGATTGTCGAATGCATCGATGCATGTCAGCTCCGGGTACAGGTGGCACAAATGTGGTGACATTTGTGCCATCAGAGGAGCTCACGGGGCTCCACGCAAGACGGTACACTGCTGCGAGTGAGTGTGTGTTTGAGAAATGCTGGCTTCAAGCTGAGCAGGCTGCTGGATTCAGTAAAAAGGACTCACTGGGATTTCAGACATTGTTTATGATCAAGGCCTCTTCCGGAAACGCTGGTGGAGAATGGAGTAGGCGGGTTATTTTACATTTTCTCTTTCTCTTTGTCTTCTGTCCATATACATTTATTGCATTATTATTACATACATTTATTTATTCATTTTAATATTCACGCTGTGCAATTATATTAATACCTTCTGGGCAGTGGTAGTTTAGCGTTTAATAACAAAAAAGCACATGCAAACATAAGTCAAATTGTGATTAAATAGTTTATGGTGATAGTCTACTACATCTGTAGCACCACCAGGTGGCAGCAGACTGCTGTTTGAGACCAACTCTGCCAAGTAACCAGATCAGACAGCTGTGTTATAATGTCAGTGTCTTTATGCGTGCTCTTGATTTCCATGAAAATAAAAAAAATGACTGAAAAATAATGAGATCAGGAGTCTCACTGTGCCCTGGCAACTATTCAGGCCACTCAGTAAGGAATGAAGGGCAACTATTTGAATCGATGAGGTCTGTGCCGTCGCAGGAGGACTTCATAAGCTTCCTGGATCTTCACAAACGTTGCCTCGGCAGTTATTTCCTCAAGAGAGGCCTCTACTTCCAGTGACAACACCTGCAACACAAATATATCCAGATACACAGTTTGGATAAATGGAAAATACCCGGCAGTGCTGCTACACAGTCAGACAGGTAATACAGGGTGGCTGTTATGGAAAATACAACAGAGCAGAGAAGGCCAGCCAGGCTAGATCAAGCCTGTAAAGCTGTGGACCTGCAAAGGGCAGAAATAAATGTCATTTTAGTCCGCCTTAAAATTGAAAACAAATGACCTCTGATCCAGCCAAATCTAAATCCAGTAACAAGCGTAATTGCAAAT